TTCGTATAGGAGCTATTTTCACAAAAAACCAAACTGGCGTTCCTGTAAGCACAGTGTAAAGCTCGGTTTTCTATGGGAAAATAATATTCTGTCTGTTTTAGACAATGATACATATTCAATACAAAATCAGAATAACAAATGCATGCACCATGCTAGCTGAGTTGCCAGATTGCTAGTGACTGCGCATCTGGGGTTTGGGCATGTGTATGACTGTGTGCAACTCTCACTGTTTTTCTTGTACATCAAGATCTCAAATGAATTCATCTCATAGTTCTCGAAGGTCAGCCGAACTTTCTCACATGTGTCCTTATCTGTCAGCTCTCCGTACATGAAGCTGGGAGAGAAAACAATGAAAATTGGAGTTAAAACCATGAATATACTTTTAATAAATAAGGAGAGACTCGGACGGTTTGTTTAAACAATGTTAATTATCAACAGTGGCTATTAAAAGTACACTGAAAATGGCTCAGATTAAAATACAGCCTTTGATCCCTATCTGGACATGGCTTTAAAAACTCAGCTGAAAAAGGAAACAGTGCAAACAGTGATTCAGGGCCAGGCACCCAACAGAAAAAAGAACAACTAGGGCTGAAAGGGAAGATATTTTAAATTGACTTCAATGAAACAGTAAGTAAAATCTGACATTTTGATCATTTAGAAAGTATTTTTAACATTTTTAACATGACTATTGAGTAGAACAGTTGTGGTGGGGTTAATGTAAGGTAAAGATGTTTTCACCAAAGTTCACATCACATAGACCAGAGATATTCAACTGAAATCTAATGAGGTCCAGATTCATCATTTTTTGGGATGCAATTATAGTCCAGAGGATTATAATATCTAGTTATTTACTGCAATATATTATTACGAATCCTTCGTGTAATCAATAATTGAAAGTCAAATCAAACTAATTCAATACAATTCAAAAACCTTTCGAAAACTCTCCTAAGTCCCAGCTGTATCGAGTGTATTGATTACTATTGCCTCAATAGCGGAAGAAAAATATCAACTAGATGGCTAAAGTTTGCACACAAACTTAAATGTTGGCTTGTAAAAGTTTAAAGCCAATGTCACTACACCCATTTCACAATAATTTTCTTACTCTGAGCTAAACATATGCCAAACAAGTTGCTATGGTAAACAGTCTGGTTGCTACAAAGTAGCAAAATACAATGTTCTTTTGCCACTATACATTATTTATACCAACCAACATGTCTCTATCATTATACCAAAGCTGAGATAGAGTTCAGAAAATTTGGTTGCTAGGGTAAACTGTTTGGTTGCCAATGACATAAAACAATGAAGTTATTACTATGATTAACATAATCAAATCCACAGTTCTTTGTGATGCTGAAAGCTAACAAATGTATTGGTGCATATTTTGTGCTTTTCCCCTAATCAAACTCAAGGGATCCCACAGATCTTAGCTAGATATTAACAAATAACTCTCTTCAGAGTCATTATTACTCTGTTAAACATACTCAATATGCAATCTGAATAGAACTTTGAGAATCTGTACAGTAGCTAAACGTTCTGAATTCTGAAGCATCAGAGATTACACGGATGGACTTTTTGTATATTGCTTGTGGCGCTTCAAAGCCCTGGGTCACTGCAGTGTTAGTTACAAACTGTTCACATTTTCTTTTGTACTAGGAAAATCATTAAAGTTATTTTTGGATCAATTGGTTTGTGACTGTCAGAAAAATCGGGAAGTCTCATTTTACTTTAGGCTGCAAGACAAGAGGTGAAGAGGGAAGATGGCTACATTGTTTACTTTGAGCCATCTGAGACAGCGGCTGTAATAAGCTCTTCTGTTTGGCATTTCAGGGAAAAGCCAGAGTTCAAAGCTTGCGGCTTCACAGCTGCACCACCAACTGACACTTTTACCACAGAAAATTCTCACATAAAAATCCAGTGAACATGTTATTTGTTTTTAACCAAGCACTCCTGCATTCTTTCTACTTTAACTATTGAACTGTAGACCATTAAACACTTTGAAAGCATTATATTAATAATGGGAGATGATCTTTGCTGGCTGTTCTTAATCAAAAATGTGACCAATGTGAGGATGAAGTGAGTGGCTGAAGGCTGATACCTGCAGGTGCTGCTTTTCTGCATGACTTCAGCACGGTGGTAGCCGGAGAGCTTACAGAATCCATCATTGCTGTAAACGATGGGCCAATCGACAATCTGTGCGTTCCCCAGCACAAAGTTTGTGTCTGTGTAGAGAGAGCACATGAGGGGTTGCAGGGAAGCAGTTGAGACAAACCGGACAAATATCCATCATTTCCCTTTATTTTATTAGTGTTTCTTGCACACAACAGTTTGTTTTTAGTCTTGAACAGACTGTTGTATAGTTTATATTGCAAGCTCTGCATTATGCATGCCAGGTTCAGGTAAACATGGATGTGAAGGTACATCCATTGCTTGTTAGAAACGTTTTGCACAATGACAAATTGTTCTAAAAAGAAAGAGAAACAAGTAAATAATGGCCTGTCTGTGGCTGTAGCTTGTCTAGGAGGAGTAGTGTTTAGAATGTTTTGTCCGATGCGATAAACGAATAATATTATGTTGGCTTTTACAAGGCAACATGATAGCTGCAAAGTAAAGGAAGATTGTGTATCACTACAAATATTTATGGGGTGTGGTCGTTAAGCTAAACCAACAAATGCAAATGTAGAGGAGGTTGATCATCAGGTAAAACCAACTAATGGAAATTAAGGGGAGTCAAGTTTTAGGGCCTTCCCCTTATTGACAAATAAAAGTTCAGGGAAGTCGGACAGATATTTTTTATTCATTTACTGATTTTTTTTTCTTCTTCTTCTTTTCTCTTCCTTTCTTTCTTTTTCACTCATGTACCTTCACCCCTTACCCTTCCCCAACCCTTTATCCACTCCCCCTTTCAGGACTTGTCCAGACACAACTGATGTAAACTGACTCGCGGGAACCACAACTAATAAATATTTACATATATTCAATGCTCCAATCCAGAGGAGAAAACACCACACCAGGTGTTTTACTCCCCTGGAGAAAGCAAAACTGTCCAGCTCAGTAAGGCATATACTCTCCCTTTTCAGCAGGACAGAACAAGGTAAAAAAAAAAAAAGATATTTGAGTGACCAATGTAAGGGGTCACTGAACAAAAAGCAAAATGACTCAAAAGATACTATTGATCTTTTGTGCCAGGGCCCCACCAACTCCTCCAGCATCTTTCTGCCCGTGTTGTAAGCATCATAATCCAAAAATCTTCACTTCAAATGGTTATTTGGCAGGAAACTCTAAAGTGTTGCCCATATTTGTGTGCTCTGCACTAATGACGTCTTGTTCTCTAAATTTGAAAAAAAATATATATATTTTGGTAAATGATTCAAAAAATGTCTTTCTCTTCAATATTAAAGCAATTGTTGACTTAACATATGCAAATGCCTTTGAATAGTTTGAGGGGGTGTTAGAAGATATAGAGGACTATATGTTTTGCTAATATTCCCATTCACATTTGAATATCTTTAAAAGATTAAATTTATATTTCCACAGATATTTATTCTCTTACCAATATTTGACATGTTGTTGAAAAAAGTAGGATTTTTTTGTGACCAAAAGTAGTGCACCCAGAACAAAAATGAAGGGTGGGAAAATAACTGTGTACGCTTCGTAACCTAAAAACCTCAGGTTCTTCTTTTAGTCTCTTTCTCAGGTCTATTTTAAGACATTCATTGTCCAGATGTACAGTCTGCAGAGCCTGTCTTTGTCTTTCTGGAGTGTTACTGTCAAATGGTCAATTTTACAGAACTTATGAGTGCATTTCCCACTGAAACGCCATAGAGTCCAGTGTAATGTGCTCTGTTTCCGTAACCTAGCTTTGACCTTTCTGCTGAAGCCTGTCAATGTTAGTGCAGTTGTGGCATGCGTGTTAAGCAGAGATTCAGGCTGATTAGCTGACAATAGTGATTTAGATGTTGCTGAGTAAGCTAGTAGCACTTTTAACAAAGTGTTTCTCAAAGCCTGAGCAAGCTCACAGTAACACTGTACAACCCGTAATCCGATATAAGAGAATTAAAAATGTCCAGTACTTCACAAATGAGGACAAGTTTAGCACATGGTTTCTGTGTTTAAAAGCAACTCACACAATTTTAACAAGAATTACGCACTCTGCAAACGTCCAACGACTTTGATTTTATTCTTGTTTTCATTTCGTGTCACAGCTTCTATTTAAGACAGTTCAGACTATTTCAAATATTTCATAAAGACGTTTCTTCTCAATTTCGTTAAAGTGTTTATATTCTATTTCACTGACTGGAAATACTAAATAAGAAGTAGGTTCTAATGGTGTTTGCTACTCAATGAGATTTATCTGCCCTCGTCAACATTGGATATACATTACACATGAAAGCACTTAAAAAATGTTTGTGAGTTTCTAATGGGATGTTACAGTTTTTGACATAGGCTCATTCTCCAGATAAAGGGTTGTGTTATAAATGTTGTGAATTTCCCATTGAAGTTAATGGAATCCTGCAACAGATCCTAGTGCTCTAGCATTGACTTCCTAGTTGTACCTGATTGCAATTAAATTGAGTGGCTGCTATTGGTCAATTGACTCTTCTGGGTACAGTTCAGCGTACCGAGGGCAGTGCTGACCTTTACCACTTTGGCAGTTGGTGCTCCTCTGTGAGTCGTTTTATCTCTGATAACATGGTCATATAATGCTTGGATAAAATTATAATCATATAAGCCTTCAAACATATACATAACTGTATATTATGTGTTAGGGCTTTCTTCTAGTGTCCCATGGTTCAACAATGTCACTACAATTCCAATAGCAATTGGGTTGATGTAGGGTTACGAGGCATGGACAGAGTGGGTGTGGACAGATTGATCCAAGCCCGCCCCTTTTACTGCAAGCCGCAACCAACCTCCTCTCGTTTCAACTCTATATGATATGCTCAAACACCATGGTTTTACATGACCTGAGTGCTGCTGTTGACATGCTAGAATGGATACCAGCTTTCTTGTGGCTCAGTTGGTAGAGCATTGTGCAAACAACGCAAAGGTTCTGGGTTCAGATCCCAGGGAAAGCAAGAACTGAGAGAAAAAAATATGTTCATTCAAATGTAAGTCGCTTTGGATAAAAGCGTCTGCCAAATGCACAAATGTAAATGTCATGTGGAGTCCCTCAAGGCTCAATTCTAGCACCATTTTTGTTCAGCATGCACATGACACCAATGGTTCAAATAATGAGAAGATGCTATAGTTATGCCAATGACAGTGAGATTTACTCAGCCCTTTCTCCAAATGACTCCAGCCTGGTAAACCCACTCTGTATGGGCACAAATTCTCTTCAGTTAAATAAAGAGAATAGTGAAGTCAATGGTTTTGGAACCAAAGTAGACGTTCTCAAGGTAAACGTGTAGTTTAGCTCCTAGGGTAATAAAACTAAAAATCCCTCTGGAATCTGAACTTTGTCAGTCACATCAGAGCAATAACTAAATCTGCCTACTATCATCTCAGAAACATTGCAAGGATCAGTTGCTTCGCTTCGAATCAGGATCTAGAGAAACTGGTCCATGCTTTCATCACCAGCAGGATGGACAACTGCAAAGTTTTCCTCACTGGTCTCCCTAAAAAGACCAGGTAAATAGTTTCCACTCTTGAAGGGGCTTAAGAGGTATGGAGGACGAGCCTCTGCCATTAAATGTTCTTGTATTAGGAATGTAAAGGAAATACTGTTGAATAATTACTGTATTGCTCAAAAGTACATTAAAAATCTGCAAACATTCAAAATCCTTACCTCAGTGATTTTCCAAAGTCATTCCTGGAGGGCCACATCCCTGCACAACCTTCTGAACACTAATTAGGTCATCGTAGCTTGTTTGAAGATATGTGTCGGAAATGAAACGTGCAGGTTCAGGTCCTGCAGGATTGACTTTGGACTTACCTTCTACATTGAACAGCACGAGGCAATGAACTATGAAGAAAACACGTAATATTTGTGCTGTAAACTTAAAAAAAATGGTGTTCTTTGAATTTGCTCAATGGCAGGCAAGCAGTAAATCTCATGGGGACTCCAGGTGTATATGTCTGAGCATCAGACCCCTGCACCACTGGTTCCAGCATCAAACTTCATAGCAAGTTAAGTAATGAATCCCACAGTTTTGAACCACGCTGCATCAATAAACCATTAAATACTGTATTGGTTTAGCAATTTTCCATTCAGTTCTGTCCTTTATAATATGAACGGCCATATTTTTGCTGTGACACAGCAAACACAGACACACATTTCATCTTTGTAATGCTTGTGAGGGGTCAATGTGAGATGAGCAAATGTCCTAGCGAAGAGGAAATGGAAGTGCAGCATCAGAGCCAACTGGGGCTCGTGTCTACATGATCTCAGCTGGTTTAAGAGCATGGTGGTGGATTTGCCACAGAGCACAAATCTCCGCTATTGAGCATTAACACAGCAACTGCACTTCACACTGAAATACACACATTTACTCACATATACACCACTATGGAGGAAAGGGTTCCATGCCAACATTTGTTATTTTACAGCAAGTGCTGCCAGCACTGAATGAGGACCAGGAAAAAGCATCTGCATGGTTACAGCATTTGCACCATTAAATATTAGCTTTTTAATATCAACGGCACTTTAATATTGAACCTAAAAGATTCAACTGTTGGTTTGTAAATTAACAGAAATTGGTATAGAACAGTATTTAATGTTAAAGGGAAACTAAAATAGAGACAGAGGAGGGAGGGAAGGAATAACAGAGTACAGAGGCATAGATAATGGAGGAATGGAAGAGGTTAACGCACATATGATCTGCTCAGTGAGATTTATACCTGTGTGTCTATGTGATAATGTCCAAACTGGAAGTTAAAGAAAACAGAAAAAGGGTTAAAATAATATACATACACTGTAGAGGAAGATGAATTTAACCTCCTGGTCACACGAGACTCAGATGTTCTCAGTTTTATGGCCTGGGGTCTAGTGCTCGGGGGATTGGTGCACATTTGTTTTCAAAGCCATCTTGACTAAATAAACTGCACTTAACAATCTTGAAGGACAGACTTCAAGATTCAAGATCAGAAAGGTGCTCAAAGCCCGCAGTCTCCCAGATAGTGCTAAAGGAGCCAGTGCTCAACCTTTCACCACTCTGTGAAATGCTATGAAATATTAATTTAACCTAAAATTGGTTTTTTTTTTCAAAGCGTGCTCATATACAAAAATACAGCTTGAAATATAAACCAAAAAATATAAGGAGTTGTCAATTCTGTCATTCAAAGGAATACAAAAACTTCGGCAGAAAAACGATAAAAACACATTTTAAAATGTGGTATTTTGTACAAATGTAACAAATACAAATTAGACAAACGTCCATCACCTATAAATAGGCCTCTGCTAAAAAATATATGTTGAACTTAACTAATGTAAAAATTTATTTATTTGCAAAAGCCAGGCTGTTTCTCTACAGAATACATGTTTCACGTTTGTTATCATAATTGAAACAGTAAAAATGGCTTGTCTTTTAACTTGCTTTTAAAACTTTTCATTAAAAAGTCCACTTGAATAAAATAACGACTTCTAAAAAGTTTTATTTCTCGTGTCTGAGCGCGATAAGGCTGTTGTCGGTGTGGAGTTGTTCTTACCGTTGGACCGTCGGACAATATTTTCCAGAAAAGTGTTCTGGGGAGCCACTAGTCCCCTGCGTCCCCCTGCCATCACGGCGGCTCATGCGCTCCGGGTAGAGCCGGGGTCAGTCAGCATAAAGCATCCTTTCGCATCTCCGCGATGTCTTTGGTCCACATGTCGCTGCTGCATCCGGCGATGTGAGAAGCATCCTGGGGCTTCCTCGCGCTCTCCTCTCTTGTCTCCACTAGATCAACCAGACGAGCTCCATGACCGGATTCATCCAGTGAAACAGCGACATCTATCGGTTAATATTGGAAGTGGCAGAGATTCTAATGTTACTCGACAGATGGCGCTGTAAACGTTTGCTACATGATGGAAGTCTTAGTCCGCTGTCGCCATCTGCTGATAAATATACTTAATTCGCGTTGAAATACTTTACATTGTTTAAAAAAAAATCCACATCAAATTTGTTTAACTAAATGGGACAAACGTGCAGCATTTGGAGTGTTCCCTAGATGTTCTGCTGTTCTTGAGTTGTTAAGCTAATACTAGTACAAACCAGTTTAGACCTGCTAACACCACGTTTCAAACATACAGTGTAGGTTCCAAAACGAGTTATTTTGTAATAAGATCCTATTTAATCTCTCTGTAGAAGCCTTATTCAAAAAGTCGAATATGTTGTGATAATAAAGTGTATTGTTTGTTAGTATCATACATAAAAAGCCTGTGTATTCATGCTATAGTAAACGCTTATGCAAGGTCTATTTTTCTTGAATAAAATTCAATGAGTCATTAAGAGTAGAAAATTAACCTGCAATGTTGTAAAATACAGTACTTACTACACCTAACAAAAACAACAATAAAAAGTGAAAACAGTCATAAACATAAAACCCCGTGACATAAGAACATTAGTTAAGGTTTTAAATTCTTATTAAGAGTCCTGTGTTCTTATTAGATTACTGAAAGACAAGTAGAATGTCTAAACCTTGATATCTTATATTTGATAACTAAATATAAAAATTTCAAGAGGTATGGAACATATTGCAACTGAGGTTTGCAACAGCCGTGACCTCCCACACTTCAAAAACCATTTAAAAACATACCAGGGAGGTATTCTTGTGCTAAACTCTGTCAAATTTGAATGATTTTATGTAATGCATCTTCAATTTTTATTTATGTACTGTATTCATTGCTTGGTGTACTTGAAAGGGACAAACAGGTAAACGTTTTGCGAATTTCGAAAGTATTGCTGAACCAGAATTGACAGATTGTGTAAAGAAATTTGTAATAAACTGCTAAACAGATAAACATTCCATCTGAGTAAATTACATAAATGTTTCAGAATCAAGCAGAAAACAAAGTTTACAGAAGTCAGTTGTGGCTTCCTGTATAACAGCTGTTTGATTGTTATCCTCAAAAGGATAAAGAAAATGATATAAACGATTTAGCAAGTCCAGCAAGAAACAAGCCACTAGACCATTCGCAAGACAACTTGAACCTCTCTAAAGTACCATGGAAAACATAAGGAACGCTGTCAGAGGGTGTTGTGTATCAAAACTGAGAGTCCAGTCTGAATTATTGAACGTATATTCTGCTGCCCTCTTACCCACCAAACAGGGAAACTCGTCACCAGAAGCAGCAGCCCTTATTCAATGCAGAAAATATCCACATTAATTATTATAAGGAATTAAGAAGCAAAGTTTTTGAGTTACTGAAGAAATTATCATATTTTAGAGGAAACTTTTCAAAGAACTCTTGTTATTTTGATCATATAAGTCTAATCTTTGACCCTAAACCATTTGATTATCGCTGCAAAGCTGTAGTAGCTTTTAGATCATTTCTTTTATCAAGATTTGAATATTTCTGCAAAGTCAAGCTAAGTTCTTTAGGATTTAATTAACATGATTACATGGATCTGCTGTTTGCAGTGTTTAGTGATGTGTTTAGTAATGTTTATCATGGTCAGTCGATCTTATCGATGGCGGACGCTGTAAATCTTCAGCAATCTTAATGGCTTGTACCACACTGAGCATATCTAATCATATCTAATCAGATGCAGATGTCAGTTTTAATACGTATTGTGCTATTTTAAACCTATACATTTTTCAGATGATGCAACCCTTTCCGTTTCAAGAATGAAGCTATACATTTTTCAGATGATGCAACCCTTTCACCGATCAAGAAATTTGAAGAAATTGTCTGATTCTTAATCTAGCTTCACTGAAAAGAGTTGTGTGCTTTGATTATAGTTGAGGTGCATCATTCGTCATCACATTCTAAGGGTAATTTAGAGTTTTCAATTAACCTGACGCATGTTTTGGGGGTACCCAGAGGAAACCCAAGCAAGAACAAGCAAGAAGAACATGAACTGGCAAACCTTAAACTGGCAACCTTCTAACTGGAAAGCCACAGTGCTATCTACTTGGCACTGAGGACCGGCGCATACCG